ACCCCCCCCCAAGATTGGGGAGCCCATGCTGATGCTCCAGTCTCCCTCCCCCCACTGTCCCACCACAGGCTGGAGCACACAAAATCTATTAGGCTGTGTGACGTAGTGGAGGGGTGTCTGATCTGTAACCCAGTATCCCAACCTGGCTGCGCTGTGGTGCGTGATTCCTACTGACTCACCCACATGTGGCTATCAAACCTACGCTGGGCTGTATCTTGGAGAAACAATAAACCCAATTTTACTCTACTGGCTGGTGGAGGGTCACATCTGGCTGTGGATGGGGGTGCAAGGTTAGGGGGCTCCCCGATGCACCGTCACAGGCTGGGCCTCCCTAGGCTCTTGTGTGGGGGGGGGAACGTGGGGAGTGTCTTTCTCCTTCTCAGTTAGGAGAAGGCGGGCTTGTGTTTGTTTGTTGGTTGGTTGGTTTGGGGTTTTTTTGGTGGGGTGGGGGGGGTTTGCTTCTCATTTGTGTGTGGCCCGTGACTGGAGATATATTTTTGGGTCAGCAGCCCCTGACCCAAAAAAGGTTTCCCACCCCAGATTAGAACATGAAGGGCACCTGCCATTGCTGGTTCTACATGGAAAAGTGGCCTTCTGGCTGGTGTTCAAAATGTCTTTAGTACGTACATGGGAGAAGTCCAAAGCTACCTTAACTGAGATTGCTGTGCCTCTCAGAAATGTAACTGGCTCAGCACAGGACGTAAAGGCGGGAGTTTGAATCCTAGCACTAACAGGATTGGCTCCTTCCTTGGCCTTGGCAGATGGCTCTTGGCAAGAATCCAGGAGGTTTTATAGGTAACACAAATATCCAGCATTCTCGTTAATACTAAAGACCAAAAGGGGATTGGGAAGCATGTCAAGCCTCAATTTTCAGGGATTAAGCCAATCTTTGTTCTGTGTTAGTAACCGGGTGCCCCGGAGAAATCTCCTCAGATCTGCCAGCTACAGCTTTTCTCGTCTCTTCCTCTGAAACTTCCAGTGCCAGCCATAGCCAGAGTACTGGATCCTGTATGGGAATTCCTGTGTTCTGGTTTCTTAGTCTGTCAACTGAATTTATTGATACAATAACTCACAAATGGGTTTGGATTAGTTGTAAAATGCTATATAAATATCAGAGCTGATGGGGGAAAGGGGCAAAAGGAAATTCCATCCCTTGGGAAATTCTGATATCTATGTCTTCATGCTATGTTGGGCAAAATAAAATATCAAACCCTTTTGAAAAATTAAAAGTTCAATTCAGAAATGTTGAAATGGATGGGAGGGGCAAAGCCAATGGACAAAGGGATGCCTGAGGGACCCGGAACATAGATCCTGCAATGCATCATGGGAGAGTTAGTCCATCTGCGGAGCCGGGTTTCTAGAGGTGGAGGTGAGGTGCAGAGGCTAACATTGACCCAACCCTAATCAACTCCCTGAACTAGACATCCTCAAGACAGGCTTGAGTCTGATAAGTAAAGCAGGGGAAGCTGTTGGTTTTCATCCAGTACCAAACACACTGATTCAAACCGTTCCAATAATCTGACAGCTTTGGGCTCGATTTCTGCTATTGAGCCAAAAGCAAATCTACTCATGCATACCTACTCCTGTCTCAGCCGGTCAGTACAAGACATAACTAGATAAAAGTCAAATACCCTACCAGCAGTTTTGAAGAAAATCAGATAGGAACTTTTGTTTTGGTTTCTTTTGTAAGTTAGTTTAAAACAAAACAAAAAATAAACCACCTCTCCTACTGCTGGCTATGAAGTAGTTATTGTGCTGTTTCCAGAGCTAGGTAGGGATATAAAATCCTGTTCAGTTGGTTAACCGGT